CCCCAAAACCCCAAAACCCCAAAACCCCGCAATGCAAAATATTTCAATTTAAATTAAGAAAGAAATTACAAATTCGTTAAAATGTCAAATTTTCAATTTTACTAACCTCAAAGAAGAGCAAGTCATTCTCACTTTAATTATGATGAAAACTTATTGGGGAAAAATCAAATTCAATCTTAATCTTGTTATGATAATGATGCCTAGATGCAGGAGATTAGAGAGATGCTCTATCAGAATGTCCAGGATTTGAATACTGTTAAGAACTCTTTAATTGATTGCTATAGATTACCTAAATCAAAGAGATAGCAATAAATAAGAGTTGTGGATCAGTTCTTAATTGACTTAAATGATGAAATAGTGGACATTAATGCTGAAATTAGCAAGGGCCATTTGAATGATGGAATTGTAGAGGATTTCAGAATGAGAGTAAATGAACTTATTAGTTCAATATAGGAGAATATTAATACAGATGAGATTGATAAGTTCTTAGAAGAGCAAAATAGTCAAGATCTTTCTGTCTAGTTTAAATATGAGGACCTAAATAATTATAATAACAATGAAAATCATTTTGCGAATGGTGAAGAGCCTAGTTCAATTTGCATATCTTAATTCTACAAATCTAGCAATTAGCCTCAAAACACAAATTCAATCCATAAAAATAAATAAGAATACAGCCAGTCTAAATCAGATATGAATGAACTTTATCTAAGTTAGCAGAAACATCAGCTTTAAATTTCTTAAGATAATAGACTTTTGGATTAGGTATAGAGTAATTACTCAGACTTACTAAGTAAAGTCACCTAACTCACTCAGGTCATTCAAGATAATGACAAACGTTAAAAGGACTGTAAATTATTATTCCCATTTATATCTTATAGTGATTGATGAAATAAAGGAATTGAGAAGAGAGAATCTTGAAATGGCTCTTTAACTTCGATAATTTACCAGAAATAAAGAAATAGAAAAACCCCTGATAAATAAAAGTCCGACCTAAAAACTTGCTACAAATGAATTTGTTCCCTTAAGATAATTTACATAGGCCAATCATGGATCTGTGAATAAGAGTATATTATCTCTTAGCAAGGAAAGATTGAATAGAGAATTAGACGAAAAGTATTAGCAATTCGCTTATAACTCTAAAATAGAGAATACGAAAATTTCCAATCCCTCTATTGTATTGCAAATAGTTGATACTAAAAACAAGCCATCTCTGACGATGAGAAGATCTAGTTCATACATTGATAACAATAGTATTCGGGATAAAGAAAATATTAGTGTTTAATCGAATTATCACATTACAGATCACAGATCTATTTTGAATAATCCATTGCTACAATCTAAGAGAAATGATAAGGAGATCATACCTAAGTCAAAGGTTTAATTTTCCACTATCTACTCTAATGATGGAAAGTCTAGCATAAAATCTTCATTTAAGTTATCAGATATCAGAGACTCCTTTTAATAGGATAGTATACAGCCGAAAAAAGGCTTTTAAATCAAATATCTGGAATCGATTCAATCTTAATAAACTAATTAGAAGGATATGTATTCAGACTGGGTGAGTAAACGGTTGAATAGTACAAATTAATCGAAGTTATCGAGTATCAGAATGAGCTATTCAAGAAAATGAAGAAAATTAAGATTGATTTAATTATCATTATAATTAATAATTACTTTTAACTGAGATAAATTAATTTTTAATCCACAGGATCTTGAAATACTCACAAATTTACAATAAAAATTCATTTTCGATTAGTCTAACTTTGAGTTCTATATCATTACTTCCAAATATTCTTTGGAGGTAAAGAACCAAAAGAAAGATTTAACTTTTCTTTTGCTTTTAATCCAACTCCTTCATATATATCCTTGTAAGCAAAGGAACTTATTTCTAGCTTTCTAGTTTCTTCATTTGTTAATGGCTTTAGAGGAAATTCTTTTTCATTTTCTTTATGTAGGCATCTTAATTCGAAATAGTATTTTGCATATAAATTTGACTTCACAGTTACATTATATCTATTCATATTAATTTAGCATAGTTAGAAATTACTAAATAAGCTCGAGATACTTTTTTTCAAGTCTATTTACTTCATCTGTCACGAAAAATGGATAGATAAAGGCAAAATCTGAATTCTATAAGTATCTGTCATCCCAAACTTTCTATGCTACTAACATAGAACTCAATATAAGAGGTCTCCAATTAGTTGCTTACAATGGCATCTCAGTAAAAGCAATCATTCTGTTGATATAGATTAGACTAATAATGCAGCATTCAGGACTAAAATGATTAAGTTAGATGGCTAGATTGACTCAAACAAGGAATTTTAAAGTAATAATTAAGAAGTGTAAACTTGCTATAACTCACCTAAATTAAGCGCAGTCAAATAAGGCCTTCATAAAATCAGATATGCTCTCTCTTGAGGGAGTTTTTTTCATCTCCTCAAATCTCTGTTTGTCAAAGAATTCTGGGTGTTCTTCCATATATTTATCCTCCGAGAAAAAATACAGATCAGAGTCTCTCGGGATCAACTTGTTTTGATTCAAATCCTAATCTATTTTTAACTGTATTTTTTACCTCTAACATTTGAGAATGGAGTATTGTAGCTACTGACTGAATAATTAAGTCAGTGTTTGGTTTGTTAAGTGTGGAGCCAACAAATATTGAGCTCACTGTAGAGGATTTTCTGTCCATAATTTACTATTTGGACCTCATTCTATTCTCACTTTATTACTTGAATTATATTTGTTAACTTATAATAAAAGTGCTCTTTAAACGAAATTTATTATTCATTTCGCCCAAATTTATATTTTTGCCTCACGGGGTTTTGGGGTTTTGGGGTTTTGGGG